CAAGACTATGGCAAAGTATCAAATAAAGTGAACAAGACTATGGCAAAGTATCAAATAAAGTAAACAAACAAAAGTATCAGAGACATTTAGAAAAAAAAGAGGTGGAAAGTTATATAAAAAAGCATATTCAGAATATATACAAATTTATACAGATGCTTCTAAAACATGAAATGATAAAGTGGGTGTAGCATTTGTAATCCCAGATTTGAATATTATGAGGAATAAAAAAATAACAGATAAATTGGCAGTGTATACAGGTGAATTAAAGCAGGAATGAAAATAAATTAGACAAAAGGGATTTGTTTCAGAGGTCATCTGGGGATGTAGTTTTTGGGAGTATTTTTAGTTTTCTAAGAAGAACCGGTGTTATAGAGAGAATTTAATCCATTCTGGAAGGTGGCGGTAATGCACCTATAAGTTGTTTGCCATACGCCGTTAAAAACAAGAGAAGAAGAAGAAGAACGTTTCCATCTTTTTAATTCTTTCCAAATTCAGTTTTTAATGCACAGTCCAATTGTTGTGGATGAGGTTTGAACTCAGGACGAAGAAAACGGGACAAACCGAGTCAAGTACATGCTCAGAATACATATAAAACCACATTTAGAGGCAAAGCACGGCACAGTGGGATCATAAGTGAAGTTTGACCGGGTGGGAAACTGCTAAAGGAAGAGCTGTGAAGAGCAATGAATTAACCCTTTAAAGCCTGATCCAAGAAAACAAAACAGAAAATTTCTTTTTTTTTGTTTTAAATCTTTATTTAGCCTTTTAACAAAATATGTAAAAAGAAAAAACAAAAATAATTTTTTAAGTCAAGATGATTTTTTGTGTAGTCTTCTGCCCCCTGTTATCAGGTGTGTCTGATTGTGTACAACAGGATTTTGAGCAAAGTTTTTACCATTTAATTATGCAAAAGACAAGACAAGACATTTGCAAGACATTTCACAAACCATATGTATCAAATATACATTTGGCATTACAGGGTTAAAAAGATTTGGATTTGACATTTCACAAACATCCAGCAGGAAAAAGGGCCCAACTCACACAGCCAGACCAGATGAGAGAGGCCCATCAAAACCCACCAAAACTGCACGAAAAATGCTGGAAATAAGGCTTTAAAAAAGATCTAAGAAAGTACTTAATAATGAAGTTATGGTGGAAGCACAATATTAACTTAATGCCCCCCTCCCCTCCCCCCGTCCCCCGCTTTTAATTATAGATGGGAATTAAAGGTGTGTCTCACTGTGCTGATCTGTTTTCTCCTTCCAGGTTTCTCACATCATCTCTGATCTCTGCTGGCTGTACAAGCTAAATATGAAGCTGTGCTCCAAACTGCAGGTGCGCACACGCACACACACACACACACACACACACACACACACACACACACACACAC